GTAAGGGAGATAGGGCGGTATGTAAATTTAAATAATAAATAAATAAATAAATGATTACCTAAAATATTTCCAAAGAGGCATTTACTTGATAAACGAGACCATCATGTTCTCCTTATACACTTTATCTATAAAAGTCCAATAATCAAACCTAACCTCCTGACTTTTACTTTTTATTACTGATAACTTTGAATGTGTCTACAAGTAGTACTTGACACACAACCATTCATTTAGTGACCAAAGTTACAACAGCATTGAAAAAAAGTTATTTATGACCATTTTCACACTTACAACTGTGGCAGCATCCCCATGGTCACATGATCAAAATTTGGGCCCTTGGCAACTGGCATGTATTTATGACAGTTGCACTGTCCCAGGGCCATGTGACCATCATTTGTAACCTTCCCAGGCAGCTTCAGACAAGCAAATTCAACGGAGGAAGTCAGATTCACTTAACAACTGTATGCTTCACTTAACAACTGCAGCAATTTGCTTAACAACTGTGGCAAAAATGTCATAAAATGGGGCACAACTCACTTAACAACTGTCTTACTTAGCAATGGAAATTTTGGGCTCAATTGTAATCGTACGCTGAGGAATATTTGTATTTTATTTTACTTCTGAATTGTAATAAATGACACCACTTTTAATCTTAGTGTTAATCCTCCCTAACGTAGCATTGATTAGCAAAAGAGACTAGAATTTTAGCCCTTTCCATCCACTTGACTTCCAGGCGAATTTCCAATCTGAAATAATGCAGTATTTTCTGAATATACAGAAAAGTAATACAGTTTTTTAAAAAAAAAAATAAAAGAAACATCTATCCTTCTGATCAAGCTGTTTTAAAATAAGTTCATGTTTAATGTTTTCCCCAAAACTTTTAGGGTGAAGCCACTGCATTATATCTCTTGGCTGATAGGACATGAAGGTAGTGGAAGTGTGCTCTCCATTCTTAGAAAGAAGTATGTCTAAAGTTTTTTTGTTTATTATTGCATTACAATTCTCAACCTAATTTCAAAGCCCACTGCAAGAGATCAGAATTCTACAAAAAAAAACTCTAGCTACTTTATCTACACTTTGTCATTTAAGAGGGGGGGAAATTGTCCCAAAATAAAACAGTTATGGGTGTCAAAGATTGAGACCATGTTTCTAACCCTAATCCTAACCCTAACCCTGACCCTTCTGCAGTTATCAAGCAATGCTTCTTGAAAATATATTACTTTTTAATTGATTAGAAAAACTGTATACTGATTAAACAATTCATTGAATGTACATGCATATTACCGAACACTTAATATAAGTATATTTTTGAGAATATTAAAGGCCATGGAATATTGTTTATAATATTTATATTTTTGAAAAGCTACTTTGCAAGAGCCCACTTTTAGAACTATAACCAGATTAAATGTTCAGTTAATGTTCGCTGTTTACAGTTCTAATATTTATTTATTTACTTTAATCACAGCTTTACTTTTATAATAGGTTTTGGGCTCTTGCCTTATATGGAGGAAATGGTGAGACAGGATTTGAACAAAACTCTACCTATTCCATCTTCAGCATTTCAGTGACTTTGACAGATGAAGGCCTTAAATATTTCTATGAGGTCAATTGCTATTATTATTACTATTATTATTCCAATATATACTATTGTATTGTAAATTCCACAAAGTCCAATGACAACTTGAAAAGGGAATAGAATATTAGTATTTCTTTTCTTTATGCAACAGGGTTAGATTCCAAATGTTTACAATGCTCTGTCATTTTCAGAATAGAATGCATTTAATAGAAATATATAAATGGTTTAGTGTTGGACAATGCTACAGAGGATCAACCAAGGAGTGAAGATTCATCTTTTGTGATAGGTTAGACTTTTGGGAATCATTAAGATTATTTTTACAGTGTTTGCTGGAGATTTAGAGATATTTGTGAGTAATGAAGGAGAGGAAATGGACAATTCTTCTGAAATCAGTACTGGGTAATAGATCCTCCATAGCATACTATATATCTTCATCAATAGTCTATATACTTATGATCTGCTGGAACCATAAATGAATTCATGAAAATTCCATGGGCAATAATCCTGCAGAAAAAAATATTTTTCTTTTCCAATTTTGGAATTAAACCAAGGTTGGGCATATCATCAAAGCAAACAAGGACTTTTGGGGCTACCATACTAAAAGGATCTAAAATCTCAGATAAAAGATTCTTAATCCATGTTTGCTATGGATCAATGGAGAAGATAATATCTGATTGAGAATGCCATAACATAGGATATCAGAAATTGTTAGAAGGTGGGGCTAAAGAAACAAAACAATACTTTTTTTGTTTGTTTGTCTGGAGGATTATTTGTGAATGGTTTATTAATTGTGAATGCTGCCTTTCTTTGTAGTCAAATGTAGCCCCAAAATAACTGAATCCATTTCTTTATCTTCAGGTTATTCATCTTATATTTCAGTATTTAAAGATGTTGCAAAAAAATGGACCAGAAAAAAGGTATATTATATATATATGTATAAAAAGAAGAATGTTATGACTTTGTTAGTCATTTCTTATTTTGTATTTAACATATTTTCAGTACATATTGTAACTGATGCTGTAAATAACAAAGAGTTTAAGAATACCATACATATTAAATATATTAATCTTCAAATCAAATCAACATATACAATATATGTAGTAACAGTGTTTGAAATGTGCAGTATAATCTCTTTGACAGCAGTAATAAACAATGCTATGTAAATAACTGTATAAGGTTTCATATTAACATAGAATAGACCTCTAAAAGGCATTCCTTCCAACAAAAGTGAATTTTTATTTGATAAGAGTTAGTCGTGTCTATGGAGATTCTCAGTCATCCAGGTCATGGTTGTCCCAAAGATGCTTTTTCAAAAGGCAGCTGGACTTTTTTTTTTACCTGAAGACATTTCACTTCTCATCCAATTAGCTTCTTCAGTTCAACTGAAGCAAAGCAAAATGTCTTCAAGGAAAAACAAAGTCCAGTTGCCAGTTGAAAAAGTACCTTTGGGATAGGTGTTAGTCATCTGTTCAGAACCATAATATATGTTTCTGTTTCTCATACCCTAAAAAGTGACAGATAGGAAGAATACATGTAGTCCTCAACTCACCACCATTCATCAAGTAACATCATTTGATGTTACAAAGATATTGAAAAAAATGACTTATGACTGGTCCTAGCATGTACGACTGTCATAAAACAACAGATGGAAACTAATCAAGGAGAGAAGCAACCTAGAACTAAGGAGAAACTTCCTGACAGTTAGAACAAATAAACAGTGGAACAACCTGCCTCCAGAAGCGGTGAATGCTCCAACACTGGAAGTTTTTAAGAAGAGACTGGACAGCCATTTGTCTGAAATGGAATAGGGTTTCCTGCCTGAGCAGGGGGTTGGACTAGATGACCTCCAAGGTCCCTTCCAACTTTATTATTATTATTATTGTTGTTGTTGTTGTTGTTGTTGTTGTTGTTGTTGTTATTATTATTATTATTATTATTATTATTATTATTATTATTATTATTATTATTACATCCCCCCAGTCAAATGATCAAAATTCAGTGCTTGGCAACCAACATGCATTTACAACAATGGCAGCATCCTGGGGTCATGTGATAGCCATTTGCGCTCTTCTCTGCTGGCTTCTGAAAGGAAAGTCACACAGGGGAAGCTGGACTCAATTAATTACTCTGTGATTAACTTAACAACTGCAGTGATTCCTTAACCACCCTGGTTAAAAAAGGTCATAAAGTCAGGATGACTCACTCAACAACTGCCTTGCTTAGCAATGGAAATTCTGGTCCCAATTGTGGTCATAAAACGAGGACTGGTTCATATTTATGACAATTGCAGTTTCCCAGGATCATGTGATTCCATTTGGTGACCTTCTGACTAGCAAAGTCAATGGGGAAGCCAGATTCACTTAACAACTATGTTAGTATTTTTACAACTGCAGTGATTCTCTTAACAATGGTGGCAAGAAATATTGTAAAATGGGGCAAAATTCACTTAATAACTGTCTCACTTAGAAACAGAAATGTTGGGCTCAATTGTGGGCGTAGGTTGAGGACAACCTGTATCTTTCTGATGTGTAGATTTAAGGTCCAAGAATAGCGCAACCACTACAAATATTGTTGAGAATGTTGGAGATTGTAGTCCAAACATTTCAAGGATACCGAGATGGTTTGAGAGCTGTTCCATGTGATAATGGTCACAACTTTTTCTTTTGCAGAATATGGGAAGAGATTCAGAAGATTGAAGCTAATGAATTTTGTTTCCAGGAACAGGTATTTTCAATATGCCAGCAGTAACACTGGAAATATTGGCACATTATTTTAGAAAATGGAATTCAAATGAATCCAACTCTTGTGAATTGTGCTGTGTTTCAAGACTAGGTTTTAAGAAACTCTAATCTTTATTAGACTTTATTATTTCTTCATTGTGATTTCCATATCTCCAGAGTGACCCAATTGAGTTTGTAGAAAATATTTGTGAAAATATGCACATCTTTGAAAAGGAAGACCTACTAACAGGAGATCAACTACTGATTGAATATAATGCTGAAGTAAGTGGAGTCCACGTGTGTCTGAAAAAAAGAAATGAAATGAAAATATTTCTATACACTTCTTGATCCAAAATGCAATGAAGCTTCTTTAAAGTGTAGGTCTAGGGGCAATACAACAAGGTTTTCTTTTCTGTTGTGTAGGCAATACAACAAGGTTCCTAACCAATTAGCCTGTGAGTTTCAATGGGTTGATAATATCCCATCCTCCATCCCCCATAATAATTCTTATGGCATGGCATTAAAAAAAAAGTCAGCTTAAGAACAAAGAGGCAATGTTTATGAAAAATTATGAAAAATTGACTAACAGAATGAATTGATTTATTCTATTTGCAGATCATTGCTGATGCCCTTAATCAACTCATTCCTGAAAAAGTAAACATCTTTCTCTTATCTCCTTCCCACGAGGGACAATGCACCAAGAAAGAAAACTGGTTTGGGACACAATATTGTGTGTTAGGTAAAGTGGCCATTTGTTATTACTGGTTATTACTGGTTTCTAAAAATCTGCTTCAAAACATCTCAGAGCAAAAATGTCATTAATGGTGCAAAATGTTGCATTAACTTCCATATGAATTGTTTAGTTACAAGGATTTCTCTTTAGAATTCAAAATTCAGGGTTTTCATTTTATTCATATGCGATGGAGTTTGATAGCTCTTGCTCTCTTGTGGCATTGGCCATGCCGACTATGTCCTCTCTCAGTTTGCAAACATTCATAATTGGACACAGTTTCTGTGGTGTTAAGCAGATAACAGTAGACAATATCATAAATCAGAGTCTGTGCAAAGAGAGCTTATCGGAATAAGTCTGTTTGAAGTTTAAGCAGCAAGAGAGTGATCCAAATACGATCCATAAGCCAGAGTGCTGAGTTGAGTAGTCAGCCAATCCAAGAGTCAAGGGTTCAAAAGTAAGTAAACACAGGAACAAAAGTCACAAATTATGATTAAATCATGAACTCAGATGAAACGAAGATGCAGTAAAAGTTAGAGATTTGGGAAACATAAAATTGATAGTTTCCTTCTTTTCCTGCGGTGTTTCTGGTATTAAAAGATTCTAGCTGTCCTCCAGAGGATGGGGAGGATTGAATGCATGATTTAGAAGGCTTATATAGAATTAAAGTTTAAGAAAATTAGAGCTCACTTGAGCCTAGCTTAAGCTAGATTCTCTGCACCACTGAATCTAAGGCTAATACTTATCTTGAAGTATTCTCTACTAAGGCATTCATTATGAATTGTGTTACATTCACAGACATTGACCCGTATTGGAGCAACTTGTGGAACACTGATTTCCCTCTGAATCCAGATTTACATCTGCCACAAGAAAATAAATATATAGGTTAGTACTACTACCAAACAGTCCTGTTCAATTTAAAAGTGTTCTTATTATTGCACTGGGTTAAACCATTAATCCACTAAATCCATGGTGGCGAACCTATGTCATGCGTGCCACAGGCAGCATGCGGAGCCATCTCTGGTGGCACGCGAGCCATTTCTGGGCCGAGCTGCTCCCTCCTCCTCTTTGCGCATGCGCAATCTGGGAATAGGCGAGAGGCTATAAAAGGGGCAACTTTCTGCAGAAGCAGTATTTCCTGGAGACAGCTTGAGAGCGAGCACAAGTCGGAGCGGACAGCGAGCGAGTGAGCGAGCATGAGCCGACAGCTTGGTGGCCATGCCCACTCGGTGGCCACGCCCACCCAGCACCCGGTGATGCATAAGTGGGTTTTGGGTTGCAGTTTGGGCACTTGGTCTCTAAAAGGTTTGCCATCATTATCCACATTGGTAGCATTAATATCTTTTGGGGAGCAACGACTATAAATATAACAATTAACAAATAACAAATAATAGACTTGGATACATAAGAAAAGATTTTCTTTTTCTTCCCTTAGTGCTACCCCCTCTAGGTTTATGGGACAAGGATTTTTTCAAGTTTTTTTTTCAACTAATCTAAGCCTCAGGTTTTAATTTTTTTGCCTGAAAATGCTAGGAAATTATGCCTGAATTTTGGCAATTGTAATCAAAACTTTAGGAAGTAGCTATAGAGGTTTGTATGTCCAGAGATTCATATAAAGTTTATGAAGATCTTATGAAGCAATGTAGCAGGCAGACCAAATCCATTAATAAATATTGTCTTCAGTATAGAAATTTGCCATTTTTATCTCCTATCTTAGCCACAGATTTCTCTGTGAAAGAAGCAAGTATCCATGCTCCAGAATATCCTACCAGAATAATAAACACACGGGAAGGGTGTTTATGGTACAAGGAAGACAATAAATTTGGTGTGCCCAAAGGTAAATTGTATAAATACAACTGAATCATACATCTTAGATTACATCTATGGAGAAGATATCTTGTCAAGGTATTCTTTAACAGTTCTTTAACTGCTCGAAGCAATCAGCACTTTGGAGAGCTCTTTGTCATGGAAAATCTCTTCTCAATGAATCCTTTGGGGAAACAGACGTGAAAAGAGCTTAGGATAAATGCTTAACAAGAAGGTGATTTAAGGAAAATCTACCCAGAAAGAACACAATTGTGATGTTGGATCTAACTGAACACCCCTCAACCAGTGTAGGGGAGATTTCAGTGACTCTTTAAAAATATAGATGTATCTATATAAACAGTATGATTTTGATATTCTTACCGCTTTTCCAATTTATTCATTTTTCTCCAGGATTTATCTGTTTCTACCTGGTATCACCAATAATATTAAAGTCTGCATTGAAGTAAGCATTCCTTTAATTGATTCGTTGCATTAGTTTTTTAAAAAAAATAATAAGAGACTTCACTGTTACTGTTAGGCTGCAATAATACATATACAGCCTTGTATGAAGTGATTTAGATTCACTTTGATTAAGCAAAGTCCTTGAACCAGAATTCTGTGGTTAGAAGGCTCCTTGCAGCTCTATCTTAGTACTAATCTACGTTTTCTAAAGTAGATGGATTCAGGACTGATACAGTGTTCACCGAAGATTTGACAGCTGAAGATGTTTCAGCACATGGAAAGGGAACTTCAGGCTGCATGGCTTTGGGATTGTCCTCAGCACTTTCCAAAGTTCCCTACTCAGGAAGCACCTTTAACAAGCAATCAGGAAAAGATTCTACATTTTCTAGCTCCAATGCACACTTTGTGGTTCACTATGTGCTGATATGGAAGAACCTCAGCAAGTATTAATATTACCACATTAGGCACAAAGATCCTATGGCATTTGCCAAAGTCATCCATCCTGAAAGCCCTTTGACCAGTGGTGGGATTCAAATATATGAACAACCAGTTCTCTGTGGATGCTGCTTCCGGAAGTCCATTCTAGGCCTGGGCAAAAAAAAATTAGCTACCAGTTCTGCTGAACTGGTGTGAACTGGCTGAATCCCACCACTGCCTTTGACCAATGCTGCAAAAGAAGGTTGAGAGAAGTTTGAACTGCAGAACTTACCAAAGACTCCTCTCAGTTTTCTTTCATAGTCTTTTTTTTCTGAAGAGGTTTAAAAGAGTTCATTTGAATCTTTGTTGAAGGGAAGCCACCTCTCCTAATTCATAAAGGTAAGGATAATTGTTTCTATATCTTAAATTCACTCAGTATACAGTATTTTTGAGAGAGGAAAAGCTCATAAATGTAAAAATGTCTGTAATTTTTGGAAATGGCTGGATTATCTGTTATGGCAGTTTAACTCTCCCCAAACAGATTATGTCGAAGGGAAATTAACCCATGGAAATGACAATCTGTAATTTTAGTCTCAGAACAGCCACTTTTCTGTTTCTCCTGTAAAACATGAAGACATGACAACTCTGCCACTTCAACTTATGTTAATTCACTTCATTTTTTTTCCCCTCACCTAGCATGGTGCTTTTTGATACTTTTGTCAGCATCCTCAGCCATAACCTTGCTGAACCAGCATATGAAGCCGATGTTGCTCAGCTGGAATATAAAGTGATGGCTAAAGAGCATGGCTTGGCCATTCGAGTGAAAGGCTTTAACCACAAGCTACCTGTGAGTGATCCTTACTTCTTCATAATCTACTTCCATTCCAGTGACTGTAAAGATAAAAAACCAGAACAACTTAACTGAAATGAAAGGATAAGACATGGAAGAATTCAGGTAGTCCTCAACTTATGACCATTTGTTACAGTGGTCTCAGAACAGGTGCATTATGGCCCATAATGTTTTTACAGCTATTGTAAAATGTTGCTTCCCCTCCCCTTTGATCTCATGACTAGATTTTGGGTGCCTTTACAACCGGTTGTAGCATTCTGAGGTCATGGGAACCCGGTTTGTGACATTTTTTGCCCACTTTTGGAAGAATATGTTTACTTAATGGCCATACCATTTGCTTAATGATCATGTGATTCTCTTAATGACCACCATGAAAAATGTCAAAAACACAGATCTGATCAGATTGATGCCTAATTTATTATTGCAACTACTTACAACCAGGTTTCCAATTATAATCATGAATCAAGGACTACCTGCTGTTACTATGTACCTAATCTTTGGTGAAAGATTTCATAAATCACTGCCATAAGATGGTCTACACTAGTGTTTCTCAACCTCATCACCTTTAAGACAAATGGACTTGAAGGAAGTTGAAGTCCACCCATCTTAAAGGTGCTGAGGATGTACACTAAATCAAATTTTGCTACCGTGGTTTGTTGTCTGGCTACAAATAACTCTTTCTCCATCCTCTTATCTGAGATTATCTAGCTGGAAATTGGGTTATTTGACTTCTCTAAATCCTATGTGTACAATTATATATTGCAATCCTCAAATGAGCTATAAAGAAAAAGAAAAACATTATTCTTGAGATTTTTTCCCTGATTTATGTAATGTTTATTGAGCTATATAAATATCATTATATTTGTGTCCTTACACCATTATAGACCAAAACGAGACAATCATTTTTTGTACCTTGTAAATGTCAAGGCTTACACAGGATAGAGGAAAGAATGTATAATGTCACCAAGAATGGCAGATGGAAATGTTTAGCTCAGTAATTTTATTTATTTAATAAATTAATGGATTGATTTGAATGTTTCCCTTTTAAGGATGGGTTGAATTATTTTATTCTTCACTTCAAGGGGTAAATTTAGGTTTCTGAAAGTTCATGAGGCATATTGAAGGTTTGCCTAATTTTACAAAACATGGCTTTTCTAATATTTGAAGGCTGATAGTATGACTACATTCAACCTTCTCTATTCTAGCTCCTTTAATTCAACATCAGAGATGTTTTGGATCCTTCAGTATCCAGTATATAGATTGGTGTGCTTGTGCTTTGTATATTACATTGGACTAGGAGTTGTGAGATGCTTAATGTGGCGCCTTTTAGTGTTTTATTTCATAAATTGCTGCTCTACTTGAACTTTTCTTTCTAGTTGCTGTTTCATTTGATAATCAATAATTTATCTGACTTGAAGATCACACCTTCAAATTTCCAGATAATAACAGAGCAGCTGAAAAGGTCATACTTTAATTATCTCATCAAAACAGATACACTGGCCAAGTGAGTATTTTTAAGTTTAAGTTTTAACTTCATGGAAATAAAGACTGTGTTGGAGCTTAATTGTATAAATTAAAACAACAACTACAACAAAACAAAACAACAACAAAACTAGTTTCAAGCCTATGAGTTTAAAGATGTGTGATAGTGGTTGAATCCATAGATTACGGGTCCCCAACCCCTGGGCAGCAGCTCACTACTGGGCTGCAGCCCATTCGAAATTGGGCCACGTGAGCGATGGGCAAGTGTGTGTGTGAATCTCCACTCTCATGAGCAGAGGGCGCTTATGCTTGTGCATGAAGCTCCACTCATGTGAGTGGACAGCGCTCACATGCAAAGCTCCATTTGTCAGGACTCTCCATTCTCCACTCATGCAAGTGGAGCTTTGTGCATGAGCATAAATATCCTCCATGCATGCAAGTGGAGCTACACATGCAAGTGCCCTCCACTCACACACAAAGCTCCATTTGCACAAATAGGGAGTGTGTGAGACCACCACTTGCACCAATGGAGCTGTGCATGTGTTTGTGTGCCTGCCATTTACACAAACCCCTGCACTGGTCCGGACCACCAAGGTAAAAAGATTGGGGACTGCTGCTGTAGAAGATATTTGCAATCTATAACTTTCCCCAGGCTAGAAGAAACATTTGGCCTTGAATTAATAAAAGCAAATATATACTTCAAAAATTAGAATCAAGGCAACTAATGTGAATAGTAACTGATCAAAAACTAAATTTGATCTGATTTGTTTAATTAAAAATATATTCAGTCAATTAGTTCTCATAAATGTATGACCTCTTGTATATTTAATAATTGTTTGTCACATCAAAGCTGTCACAAATTGGTGATAAATTTTGGAGAGGTTCTGAATAACCTTACCCAAGGTTTTAGAGCATGGAAATGAGATCTTAGATTATGCACCATCTGCTATAGAAATGCATTATCTCTTGCACTGTAGCCCTGTAAGTATGACACCCATACAGTTAAGTATTCTACTTGATCCTCTTATGACTAAGTGGCTGTTCACATAGAGAGGTTCCTGATGTTAGGTGGTGGGACACTGGGAGAAGAGTTGAACTAAGTATGCAATCTTGCCCCAATATTTATTTGAATGACATGTGAATGGAGTTAGATTATTATCATGCTTTCAGTATTGAAAAAACTAAGAATCCAGAATTAATACATGTTTACTGATATCTCTTCATTTTGGGATTTCCAGAGATATACGGCTATCAATATTGGAACATGGCAGATGGTCATTAATAGAGAAATATCAAACTTTGATTAATGGTATTTCTATAGAATCTCTGACGAAATTTGTTGGTGCTTTCAAATCAAACCTGTGGGTAGAAGGACTTGTCCAAGGAAACTTTACAAAAAATGTGAGTACAAAATCCACTTAGATATGGGGTGGTGAAGATCATCAGTTGGTACCAAGTATTATAACTCCCTAATTTTTATGCCCTTTTACAATCTATATGTTTTACTAGATATTTATGAAATAATAATAAATGATAATACATCTTTTATCATAATAAACCCCATCTTTATTTATAACTTGTATTTTATTGTTTTATTTTGGTTTATTATCAATCCTGATGGACTCAAGGTTGACTCAGCCTTCCATCATTCTGAGGTTGGTAAAATGAGGACCCAAATTGTTGGGCGCGATATGCTGACTCTGTAAACTGTTCAGAGAGGACTGTATATAAGTCTAAGTGCTATTGCTATTTAATGTGATTTTATATATTTATACATATATTTATAGTTTCATTTTAATGTTGTAAGCTGCCCAGAGTCACCTGGTGGTGAGATTTTATTTAATAAATAAATAAAAATAATGAAATCAATAAATATTATAGACTATATTTCCTAGATAGCTTTATTACTTTATTGACATTTTAAAATTGTTAGTTTCATATTGTTGCTGTTTGCTATGTGATATCACGTGGACATTGTATATCAATACAAACAATTTTTAAATAAAGATTCTGAGATGAAATTTGCTTTCAAAGAGGGTAAAATTTTAACTATTCTGTGAATTGAACTTGTGTTGAAAAGCGGTTCTGGTGATGTGAAGGCCAAATTATTTTGGCAGTACTATAGAAATAGTTTGCTATTGCATTTTTCTACTAAGAACCCTTTCTTATCAAGCCTACAGCCTTGGAATTCCATGATGGTCTTTGATGCAAAATATTGTTGACTATTGGGACAAAATTACTTTGCCTAATTTTTTTCAAATGTGTTACCTTTCACAATTTATCTCTTAGGAGTCAAAGGAGTTTATGAATTATATCTCTGGGTAAGTACTGTGATTTGATTCTCACTACTGAATAAAAGACACAGTTTTTTTGCAAGAACTATATGGTAGTTAGTGTTATTTTCACAACACTAAACTATAATTTGCATTGGAAACTTAATTCTTTATAATTCCCAGCCTTTTTAATATGCATTTAGTACAGTTGTGTTGTATTATTTATTTATTAGTCTTGTGTGCCGCCCATCATGCTTGCATTTGTTTAAGAACACCTGTGTTTAATTCTCTATATTTTAAAAAATATTTTCTACCAATGTTATCTTAATTACCAAAAACTTTGAAATTCCAGATTTTTTTTCAAACTATAAATATTCTCAAGCATTATTTGATGTTTGCTTGCATTCATTTAGCTAAACTTGCTTATTCAAAATTCCAGCATAATTTTCATAGTAATTGTGAATAATTGTTTCCATGAGCTTATACTACATTCCAGCAAAGTAGATTCCATATCACCATAGCAGGGAGCTTTGCTGAATGTGGAGTATAAGCTCTCATCAACTTCTGGACTCCATTTATTAGACAGAAGGGATGGTGCAGTCATCCCATTCTAATATTTGGAAGCAAGGAGACCTCGTTTTGTAGAACTTCAAAGGGCATTGTGAAAAATGTTTTATATAAAGCATAGCTTTGATTATGACCTTTGTCAGACGACATAGCAATGCAGCTGTAGGGCAGGGTCTTTTGAAGACGGATATGGGCTAAGAGACAGGACCCAACAGAGCAGATGGAGGAAAATTGGTATGTTCTACCAACGTAGCTGAAACCTCAGGTTGCATACAGAAAACCCCTAAGGACCATCTCAGGCCATAAGAGTGACAGCAGGTCAAAAGCCAGACTACTGAAAGATGCAGAAGCATGAAACTGCAGGAAAATGCAGTCTTTCTTCCTTGGGAATAGAAACTTAAGAATTAGAACTGCTGCCGAATAAACCAGATTTCTGAAATTCTAAATAACAATTTCAGACTAAGTGCTATAGCTTGCCATTAGAAAATGACCCACTGGTAGAAATTTCTCCTCTGTTAGAACTTTGCCCTGTTTCTGCAATTACTTGGAGTCAAACAGGTTTATATTTTTCTGCTGCTTTGATTCAATTTTGGACCTACAATGCTTCTTACTTACTTCTGCCTCATTCCTTGGTTGCATTTTCAAAGGAAAGCTGAGTAAATTTTGTTTACCTACCAATGTGCTGATTTTTTGACAGGAAAGAGATGCTTTCAAAGTCCTGCAAACTCCTATACCAATAAAGGAAAATATTTGCAGATGAAGGTTGAAATGAGGGTTCCCTTGGTGCTCTCTGAGCTTGGTTGTTTTTTTGCAGATGTTTCATTACCTAAACTAGGTAACTAGTGTGTTGATGATTTATCTTAGGGGTGTCAAACTGCCGGCCCACGGGCTGGATGTGTCATCCGGAAGCTGCGCCAACCCCATTGCTGGCAATCGCAAAACTGTCCCTATACATCTCGCGACATCACGTGACGTCATGAGTTTGACATGTCTGATTTATCTAGTTTGGGTAATGAAACATCTGCAAAAAAAAAAAAAACAACCAAGCTCAGAGAGCACCAAGGACCCCTCATCCTTTTGAGAATGCTATGATTATTCACCTGCCAGTGAAAAAATGAGATATCAAAAAGGATAGTCAGGGAGTTGGATTGCTTTTTTAAAGGGAGATTTTATTATGTAGAATAATTTTTCCATATAAGCTGCTTTGTTACTTGGGGGGTTTTTTGGTCTCTTTCCTTCTCCAGAAAATTGCAGTTCCATCCTCTAATACACCCATGTCCTATTCAGTTTCGAGTGATGGAGTTGCCTAATACTCACATCCTATGTAAAGTGAAATCTCTTCACATTGGGGATGCAAACACTGATGTCACAGTCTATTACCAGGTGAATTTTATCACAGGATTTGAAATGGACGTTAAGCTGTATGATTACTTATATGAATTTATTGTGATTGTTGAGCTATTTTATCACATGACAATTTTTAAAAGTGACACTTGTACCTTTTTATTTTTGTCTTTTAGTCACAAATAAAAATTATGGTATATGTAAATAATACATTCATATAATAATTTATCCTATGATTCTATATTAAAGTTTATAAGTTTTTAAGGAGAAAATTATTAGTGTCATAATAGTTACCTTTTTACTGATTCCTTCTACTTATCCCACATTTCTTAGTCTATTACTAGAATAATTTACAACTGGAAATAGACTTTTTACATGAGGCAGAAAAAAATGTACTTACTGTATGATTCATGGGTATGATGATTAAAAAAATGGATAGTACAAAAAAGTGAGCTTATTTATAATCATAAAGAGATAATTTTGGAATTGTACTTATATTTGCTGCAAAGGAAATTGGAAGCTTCTATTTCAGGGGTGTCAAACTCGCAACGTCACATGACGTGTCGCGACGTATCATAACTTTTTTGCCATTGCCGGCATTGGGGTGGGCGAGATTTCGCTATGATGCATCTGGCCCATGGGCTGGCAGTTTGACACCCCTGTTCTATTTCTTTTCAAGCATAAAATGGCACTTTTTAAGGAAATGAGTTTTTTGAATGAGTGATTGTCAAATAGAGCAAGGAGGGGGTGTCAAAAGAACCCCCATGATGGTGATAGAAACCAGTAGTAATAGGTTAGATTGATTACCAGAAGTAATCAAGACCTCATATCTTTTTTTTACATGTATTGTCTGCAAAAGATGGGTTTTTGGTCAAATATTTATGGCCACCAGTGTGACTTTCTTCACCTGCCCCATGGATGTCTCTTGATATCACTATTGTCAAACACTGGCAGTCTTTTTATCCCAATCCCTTCCTTCAAATGGGCAATTTGAGCATTGCATGCAAAAATAAATAAATAGTTTAACCATTGATGGCTTTGATGATCCAGAGACCTCAGTTCCTTAGCAAAACCTAGGGCAAGAACATATTAAAGGCATTCTTATGGTATATTTTCTTTTTTATATAGATTTCATTAATTTTTAAAAAATACAATCTTTAGAGCTTAGTAAACAACATGTCTGGGTTCACATATTTAACATTAGCTTCTTCAATATAAATCTATTCAGTACTGCACAATCCAATATTTTTTCCTTGATCTTCCTTTCTTCCCCATATTTTTTCCCTTTCCCTCTCATTAAACAATGCAAAACCAGAAATCTTCTTATGGTATATTTTCATTACATTTTGAAATATATACCACATACCCAGATAAATCATTAACCTACTATCACCTATTTTTTTAGACTGGAGCTAAGAAATTAAAAGACTATACACTCACAGAACTGCTTGTGGTAAGTTCTAATGCCTGTAACTTTAAAAATAATGCCCATGTTTGTTCTTTCTGCTTCCTTCTTACTCCCTATCCTGATGTGCATAATTTTTAATTTATAGCTGAAGAACTATTGCATTTTTTCAACTGCTTTGTAAACTGTTTCACCACCTCTTAGTTGTAATTAAAAATTATATTTCTCCTCCTCCTCCTTATATCTCTAATTCTAAACATTATAGAAGCAAATCCATTAGTCTATAGTGAAATAAAATCAGGAATTTGATAGCACTTTTTCCTATTATCATTTTTTTAAAAATGAACAACATACAGTACCATGAGCTGAAATTCACTTCATCAAATGCAGCAGTAGCTTATCCCTTTTAATAAAAATTTTAATAAAAAAATTGTCAGATTCCTCATGTAATTCTAGATACATTTCAGAAGAAAGCCACAACTGTAAAGCTTTCAACAACATCTCCCCTTTTTAAGGGAAAAAAATCATGTATAATTTTATAAAAGTATGAGTTAAGCAAACTACGGTATTTAACTTCTAAATCTGTGGAATTTCAGATGCACATGGAGGAGCCATGCTTTGATTTCCTAAGGACCAAGAATACACTGGGGTGAGTTTTCCACTTCTGGTCTTGTCTGATCATAGACCATAGTTTTTATATCTATAGGATTATTTCCTCTCTCTAAGACTTAGACTTACTGTATATACCACTTCACAGTGCTTTACAGCCCTCTCTAAACAGTTTACAGAGTCAGCATATTGCCCCCTTTTATATTAAACATGAATTTCTGTATTTTTGTGAGATTTTTCACTCTCCAGATAATACCTTCGGAAGCAAAAAAAATGGAAGGAAGGAAGGAAGGAAGGAAGGAAGGAAGGAAGGAAGGAAGGAAGGAAGGAAGGAAGGAAAACTTTTTTATAAAATTAGTGGGAAAACCCCAAAATAATAGTTATTAATTAAGAAACATAATGTGAAAAATCTAATTATTCCCTTCCTACACTGTAATCTAGCCATGTTTACTCAAAAGTAGGTTCATCTGAAATCACTGCTTTTAAACATCAAATAACTCTGTAAGATCATTGTTTCTCAATCTTGTCAGCTTGAAGCCTTGTTGGCTGGGGAACTCTGGAAGCTGAAGTCCACCCATCTTAAAGCTGCCAAGGTTGAAAAACACTGCTATAGAATATTCCTACTCCCACTTTTGAAAAAGCAGATGAAAATATGCCATAACTTTGGCTTTGGTTTCCCACTATTCCATCTGTGAATTAGGTCCTTAATGAACAAATTCACGATCCTGGATATTAGACCAGAATAAGCAATACCTATCCAAAGGTCTTCTAATCTAGTACCTTTTAGATGTTTGAGGTTGCAGCTCAGCGTGGATGATCTAACATTGGAGAAAGGATCCAGGGACAGCTAGACTTAATCCTGCTGATGGAATGGGCTATCACTGTCTCTTTCCTCTCCCTTGAAGTCTAGGAGATGGAAAGGCTTTGATTAAATCACTAGTTCAAAGCTGTAACTCTAGTAAATCACTGGATGTTGGCTTCCATGAAGTTTCAACAAGCATATGGAAGAATGGGTTTAATAGGAAAGCTAATGTATATTAATACACTCTAATTAATAGTTTGCATAAAATGACTTCTGACTCTGGAATATTGTTCTGTTCATTTGCTTTAGTTACCATGTCTACCCTGCTACAAGAAATACTTCTGGGATCCTGGGTTTTTCTGTTACCGTAACAACACAAGCAACCAAATATAAGTACGTCTCTCTTTTTTTGCATATCAAGTAAATGTTATATTACTGTTTCCATCCTATAACTCTGAGTTCTGGAACTGCTAATGGCTAATCATTCTTGAAAAACTCTGACATGTTTAAAACTGCTAATTCTCCATTATAAATGTTTCTGCTGCTTTCTTTTAAAGCTGACGGGTTTAATGTATTTGCTGAGATACATTTCCAAAACAAGCCTACCTACTTAAATGGCCTGACCTATAAGAGATAGGAATGCCAATCGAATTTATGGCCCAGATCCAGGTACATTAAAAAGAAAATTACCAATTCATAGCAGCCACTAAATTAAACTCCACAGCATACCTTCACTGAATTTTAGCTGGATTGGGATTTTTCTAAAAATGAAAACTGACTTTAGCTTAACATAATCTCATAGAGTCCTATACTTCATAAATTACTTTGGAATATACATGTCAGGCTTAATTTTTTTACATCATCAATTTAGAAGATCTGGAGGTAGCATGTTTCCATGTTATCTACATGAAAAGCAAGAATATTGCAGGGAACATTAATTTGAATTAGGTAGAAGGCAATTCTTTCTGAGAAAATTCATCACTATTATCATTCTCTTCTTTAAATAAAGATCTTTATTTGTGCATAAATGTGTATGCATACATACACACAAACACACAAACACAGAGAGAAAAAGAGGTGTCCTTTTAAGGACAACACAAGGTTTTTAAAAATAAATACTTCATGAAAGAGAATTGAACATTTGCCAGAAAGACAAAGATACGATTATTGTTTAGAAATGTGCTAAACTGCAGCTTTAGACATGCTGCTTTTCAATATGCAAATTATATTCTATTAAGAACATAAGAATTGCCAAGGACTTTCTTAAAACTTGTCAAGAAGAGACAAGCAAATAGTTATTGGTTTCTCAGCTGGATATTATTTTCTAAAAGTAAACTATTTTTCCCTATTTTTAGTCTGGATACATAAGCAACACAAAAAGGGAAAAAAGAACACAGCTAGTTTCAATTTACAACAATTCATTTAGTGACCGTTCAAAGTTACAATGGCACTGAAAAAAAGTGACTTATAACAATTTTTCACATTGTCGACTGTTGCAGAATCTCCATGGTCATGTGATCAAAATTCAGACTCTTGGCAACAATTCATATTTATGATGGTTGCAGTGTCCAGGGATCATGGGATCACCTTTTGTGATCTCCTGACAAGCAAAGACAATGGGGAAGCCAGATTCACTTAACAGCTGTGTTACTAACTTAACAACTGCAGTGATTCACTTAACAATTGTGGCAAGGAA